CTGAGCGCAGACAAAAAAAAAAAAAAATAGCCTTAAAGAGAATTTTTATAAAATTATGTATCGCTGATATTTGTTACCAGAAAAATATGTCTAAAATGTATAAAGGTACTTTGAATCTATGTTTGAAATGGGAACAAGAGGGGACTTTTTATCACTGCTTGGTGGACATGTAAAAAAGCTAAAAAAATTTGGATCCAAATCCAAAATTCAGAAGATTTTAAAGATTAATATACAACTGAAGCCAGAGACATTTCTTTTGGGACTAACTGACAAAGAGTTGGAAAAAACTCATGCAACTTTGTTTTTATATAAGATAACAGCAGTGAGACTTTTATATGCACAACAGTGGAAAAATCTGATATTACCCACTATGGAAGAGTGGACTGTGAAGATGATGGAGTTTGCTGAGATGGCTAAAATGACAGCTCTGATTAGAGAAAAGATACAGATCAAGTTCAGTGCTGATGGAAACCCCTTTTGGACTTTTTGTATGAAACAGAAAAAAATGAAATTATAATATATGGGTTTGATGATTAGAAAAAAGATTAGATCAGTGTTCCTCAGTCTTGGCAACTTTAAGACCTGTGGACTTAAACTCCCAGAATTCCCCAGCCAGGCTTGCTATATTAGATGATAGAAAAAAATTAAAGCTCAGTTTAAATATATACCTATAATTGTTGTAAAAGCAAATCAGAAGTCATTTCTTTATATTTCTTTTTTTTTCTTTTTCTTTCTGCATTTTTGGCTTTGTTCTCTTTATTTTCTTTCTTTTATCTTAAACATTAGTTCTTGTAAGCTTTTATCTTTTTTGTTTAAAAAAATTAATAAAGTTATTGCAAAAATGAATACGAACCAGTAGTGTAATATAGCTGTAAAGAAAGGAAATGCAATTCTAGGCTACATTAACAGAAATATAAATTCAAAATCACAAGAATTAATTGTTGTTGGGCTAAGCAACCCTACATGCACAGGGAAGGGTAAATTAAAGAAGCTCTTTGAGTGAGATGGGTGGTGACTAAATTTGAAATATAAATTGAAATATAAATAATACCTTGTTAATATGTATAAGTTAGATGGGTGCTATGAAATTCTGGAAGATTCCTTTAACTTCAACCTGTTGTTATTGTTTTTTCCCCTCTTTCTCCTCTCATGATGTTACATATAACTTTCTCCTACTTCCTTGTGAACACTGGTATTGTCTGAACTATAAGTAAAATACATATTTGTTAATATGAAGATGGTGTAATTGTTTAATAGGGGCAATTGGCCCAAGAAGGGAAGGAAAAACAAGAGGAGAGAAATGAAGAAAAAAAGGAGAGCTGAGACTAGTTAAAAGTAGAAAGCACAAGACTGTTCAATAATTTCTGCTCTTTATCACACTTTTGTTGCATTGCTTTACCATGCAACTATTGTTCCACTCTAATGCTGTTTTGATTAGATCCCATCTTGAATACTGTGTCCAATTCTGGGCACAACGCTTTATCAAGGATTCTGAAAAATTGAAGGGGCTGGATAGATTTAGCTTGAGAAAAGATAATTAGGGAGGGGGGAAAGGAGAGATGATAACATTCTTCAGATATATGAAAAATCATGTAGAAGAACTCTCTTGTTTCAGACTGCAGGATACAGAATAATGGATTTAAATTAGAGTAACTTCTTAATAGTAGCAACAGTTCAAGAGTGCAGCCAATCACTGAGATTGATGGTGGGCTCCCCTTCACCAGAAATCTCAAGCAGAGTCATCGACTATACAGGTTTCAATCCAGATTCCTGCACTGAGCAGGGGACTGAACTGAGAGCCCTAAATGACCCCTTCCAGCTGCAGGATTCTATGATTTTCGGCTACTATGGACCCTTTTAATTCAACAATTAGTTCAGTTTAATTCAACAATTCTTCCCTTTCTGTTGCTTGAAATCCTTTTAATCAAGTTGTATTCTTAAACTGCTGTATTTAATTCTGGGAATTATCCCACTATGTCTCAGTTATACCTACTCCCATTGTAATACTTGCTTTTTGTAAAAAAGTTCAAGCTCGTCTAGTTTAAACTGTGCTTTTGGTTTGTTTAGCTCTGCATTCTGTTTAACTTCCCACTATGAACCTCAAGGCAAAATCAATGTGTACCACTTTGGGAATATTTCTGACGATTTTAAAAAATGGTAATAATTTAGAAATAAACCACTAACAAATAAAATGTTAATTCAAATCAAGTAAAAGCATGGTAGTTCAAGCCATGCACAAGTGAATGTGTATATCCATTGTCAGAATCACAAAAGGTACCAATATCCAATCTTTATCTACCACTAAAATAAATGAATGCAATTCATACCTGGCTAATATGTACTGCAGAGACCTGGGTTGAACATACTGATGAGTGGCTTGGAGAGTTTGGTAATGATTTGCAAGGACCTATTGAAAGTTGCTGTTTTTTTCTGGTTGCAACAATCTTCTGTGCCACTGTAAAGGTAAAATAATATTAGATATGTATCTACCTCTGGAATTACTATAGAACAACTTCCCAATCTAAGCAGTAATGTAAAATGAAATGATGGATATTCAAACTAGGAAACTTACCACTGTGCTTTTTGTAACTGGAAATTTAGTTTCTTTGTGTACAAAAAAGCTTTTAAATAAAATATGAACTTTCAGAAAATAAACATGAAAAAAGTAATGCTAATTTAGTCTTGTTTATGTTAAGAATTGTTACATGAATTTTTTGTTTCAAGAGAAATCTAGAATACTTAATCTGGATAGGAAATGGTACCATGTCAGAGGATTAACTAATTCTACATGGAATACAGACTCTATTTCTTAGAACAGCCTTCCATAATGTGATGCCATTTTATTGCAACTCTCATAAACTACATCAGGAACAATAAAAATTGTAATTCAAAACTACTGGGAAAAACTATCTTAGAGAAGGGAAAGTGGCTTGTTCATTGGAGGAAGACTTTTTGTAACTATTAGACTATATCTATACAACATTATATTATGTTTAAAAATTAGGCTAGTCTCACTAAAGTCTGGCTAGTGAGTATCTCAGGCTGAACTAAACACCTGTTATTTTATACATGGTCACAATGTAGTAAATTATCAGTTATTCAATGTATACCCCATACACCATAGGGGTTTAAAGAAAGTTTAGGAAACAGATATGCAGCTCTGATTCCAAAGCACAAAAGGTGCTTCGGATCTGGCTTAGGCATTTTTAAATCCAGGAAAAGGCACAGCTGCTTTAAGGAGCTATTCCGGGTACAATGAGCCTGCCCACACTGGATCAGAAGTATTTTTTCTGCTTCATCCTATCCCTAGGTTAGAGAAAGAAGAAAATAAAGGAAGGAAGAAAAAAATGAGCAAAACAACAGCATACATTAAACAATATTAGAATGTGAAAATACATTAAAACAAATATTGTAGCATGCCAGCAAATATCCAAACTAACATGAGATTCCATCATTCCAGGGGGGCAATTAAAAAGGTCTGATCTCTGAATATGATAATCACAGAGGCCAATTTTAAGCTATAGAGAGATTCTTATAAGAACAGATATTTTCTGAAAGAGTTGGGACACTGTCATTAATATACATTAAAAACAATATATCAGCTGCAAAAAAATAAATATATAAACACTGTAGCTATAAAATAATTCACCAATTTTTAATATGTCTGCAAACTGAAAATAATATGTATTTTGCATTATTGTATTTTGACAGAATGCAATCCTTCAACTTGATAGTACTGCAGGAATTAAGTTATGCAATTTTGCCTTTTAATGACCCATTACTGTGATCTTGGCCAAAAACACTAACTTAAGAAATAGGCAAGAGTGCTAAATATGGGCATCACCTTGAACTTGCAGCTGTGGCAACAGTAATTTATTCAATTTAGGCACTGCCTGACTCCAAACTAGCTTTGGGCAGTATACAATAAAACCAAACAAAATAGAAAATACGGTATAATACATTATAATAACAAAGGACAAGAACAGATGGCGAGTTACACCCTCATTGCTACCTATTTAGATTATGGTAAGTTGCTCTTTGTGGGGCTGCCTTTGAAAATGATCTAGAAATTTCAACTGGTACAAAACACAATGGCCAAGATGGTAGCAGACGGGAGCTTCTACTATATGTGATACCTATTGTTTGAATGCTACATTAGCTGCCAATAAGTTGAGACCAATTCAAAAGGTTGTTTTTATTTATGAAGCTTTTTTATGACTAGGGTCTAAGATACCTTAGGGACTGTCTCCTCCAAGTGAAATTTCCCAAGCATGGAGGGAAGGGATGCTCAGGGTCCCATCTCTGTGTGAAATCAAGAGGACATGGACCTGAAGGCAGTCCTTCTCCATAATGGCCCCCATGCTTTGGAATACTTTGTACATGCTTCCTTTTGTACATGCTTTCTTGGATTTTTGCAAGGCTGTTAAGACAGCATGATTTAAACAAATATTTAAAGGCTGATTCTTCTTTTTATTTACTTTTTGTGATTGGGCTGCAAAGTTTATAGGACAATATGTTATTTATGTATTATAGCATTGTTTTAACCTAATTACTATATGTAATCTGGAGTCTGGGGAGCTGGATCGTATATAAAATGTGTGTGATTAAATAAACAGGTTTGCTGAATATTAATATACAGTGGTACCTCGGTTCTCGAACTTAATTCGTTCCGTGACTCTGGTCGCGACCCGAATTGGTCGCGACCCGAATCAAAT